GGGGGGGAAGGATCGCCGGAGCCCAGCGGGGCGGGGCTGCGGTGGCCGGGAGCGGCCACTGCACTCCAGTCTGGGTGACAGAGTGAGACTCCAACTCAAAAAAAAAAAATCTTAAAATAAAAGTTGCCCGACATTTCCCCAACCTCGATCTGAAAATTAGCTGCGCCTGTTTAAGAAGGGATAAAAAACCATCCCTTGACTCTGGTTCCTTCCTGTCACAATCTTGAAGCGTCTAGAATTCAGTCCCAAAGGACGGGACGGCTGGCATACCGCAGGCTTTCAACCTGTTGAAGCGACCCCCTGACCACTCACCTGCAGCAGCTCGGCATGCAGGAGAAGCGTGTAGGCAGCTTCCGTGTAGTTCTCACAGTCTCGGTGCAAATCTCGGAGCTTGTACAAATACCTGGTTAAAGAAGGGGAGAAAGGAGACGGCCATGGCTGGAGAGGTGGTCGAGCACTTAGTTCCCTCCACAACCAGACCCCACCTGATGCCCTGCCTAATACCCTCCCACTACTGTGCAGGAACACTTTCTTTCTCTTAGGCCAAGAGTTGGGTCTTTCTTCTTCTCTCTCTCTCTCTTTTTTGAGTCAGAGTCTCACTCTGTCGCCCAGGCTGGTCGCCCATAGCCACCCCAGCCTTGACCTGCTGGGCTCTGGTGATCTTTCCGCCTCAGCCTTCCAAGTAGCCAGAACGACAGGCGTGCGCTATCACACCCAGCTAATTTCTTGTTTATTGTAGAGACGAGGCCTTGCCAAGGTGCCCGGGCTGGTCTCGAACCCGTGGGCTCAGGCAATCTACTTGCCTCAGCCTCCCCAAGTGCTGGGATTACAGGCTGGGCCACCAAGCCCAGCCTCTTCTTTTCTTTTTGAGTTGGTATCTCACTCTGTCACCCAGGCTGAAGTGCAGTGGCACGATCTCGGCCACTGCAGCCTTGAACTCCTGGGCTCAGGTGATTCTTCTGCCTCAGCCTCCCAAGTAGCTGGGACGACAGGCGTGCATCACCATACCCAGTTAATTTTTAAATTTTTTTGTAGAGACGAGGTCTCGCTATGTTGCCGATGCTGGTCTGAAACTCCTGGGCTCAAGCAGTCCTCAAAGGGCTGGAATTACAGATGTGAGCCACTGCACCCGGCCAGTTCCTCATTTCTTTATTCCATGTGCCACCTTCTGCCTCTGTGTCTTTCCTACTCCATCTAGTCTACTCTTTTCTTAAGGCAGTGGTGTTTAATTTAATTTAGTTTTTTAGGTCTTGGACCCCTTTGGAAAGCTAATGAAAGCTATGGACTCTCCCTTCAAGAACAAGCATATAGTTTATTTGAAGTTTGTTTTATGGCCAAAGGTTCAGGCTAAGACTTCTTGGCTGGTATTTGTACCTTGGCCTGTGCAGCCTTCCCTGTCCTCCCTGGCCAGAATCCTTCTATCCCTCCTCGGAACCCTGACATGGCCTCATGCACTCCTTCTTATTGTACTTATTTGTGTATCTGTCTGAAGAGTTTATCCTTTCAGGGTGAATGGAGCATATCATATACTTTTAGGTTTCTCTCAAGGCAGCAAGTGTGGTGTTGGGGCATAAAAATATTTTATTTTTCGGGTCAGAGTCTCACTCTATCACCCAGGCTAGAGTGCAGTGGCATGATCATGGCTCACTGTACCATTCACGTTCTGGGCTCAGGTGATCCTTCTGCCTCAGCCTCCCTAGTAGCTGGCATGCGTCATCACACTCAGCATATTCTTTTTATTTTCTGTAGAGACGTCCCTAGTAGCTGGCATGCGCCATCACACTCAGCATATTTTCTTTATTTTCTGTAGAGACGTCCCTAGTAGCTGGCATGCGCCATCACACTCAGCATATTTTTTTTTATTTTCTATAGAGACGTCCCTAGTAGCTGGCATGCGCCATCACACTCAGCACATTTTTTTTATTTTCTGTAGAGACGAGATCTTGCTATTTTGCCCCAGCTGGTCTGGAACTCTTGGGCTCAAGCAATCCTCCTGCTGTGGCCCCCCAAAATGTTGGGATTACAGGCGTGAGTCACTGTGCCCAGCCGAGGGGCACAATATTTATTCACTTTAAAAAAAATCAGAAAGCTATGAAATAAATAGCAAAAGCAGGAAGTTTCCTTCAGCTTACCTTATGTATATGTCCTCTCTCTTCTTTTCTTTATAAAAATTCTGCCAGGAAAAAGAGGGTCACAAAATATTAATGTAAGTCAAGAGCTATGGATGAACTTGCCATGAAAATGGCCAGACCACAATTGTTTGCTTTTTAATGGTATCACCTTTTCCAAAGAGTTCAATGTTTCCTTTTACTAATACCCCCATATGAAAAAGAAGCGACAGGTTATAAAGAAGATTAAGGGCCATATTTCTGAGAAGTGTAAGAAACCTTCTAAGGGAAAGATACCTGGCTCATACTCAATTCATAGAGACACTGTTTCCTCAAGGAATCAGGGAGGTGGTAGGTGGAAGAACCCCTGGCAGTCTGAACCTCTGAGGCCCAGTTAACACATGTCTCAGGAAAAGTAAGATCAACGAGCTCTACCACCATGAGGATTTCACATACTAGCTCTCTATTCATGGGATTGTGGGTTTCTGATGTATATTCATCTGTGTGCTGTCATCCCAATAATAAAGCAGTCACTTTTAAATAAATGAGACAGAAAAACAGGTTGGGGATGGCCTTCAAAAAAAGTCGAATCAAGAGCTGGTGTTGCATTTTTCACCCACTTCCAAATTTATCTTCAAGGTCTATGACTGCTTGCGGGTGTCTGTGAGTCCCAAGCTGAGTGAGCAGTTCCAGTGAAACTCAGTGGGGTACAGAGCCCATACAGGAGCCTCCGGGGACCCCTGTGTCTGCGAGATCTACCGAGGGTTGAGCTGTGGGGTGCAGGGGTGGCCTGGCAGTGCCCTCCCGCCATGCCGGGGGCTTGACACGTACCAGCACGTTCACGGTGCAGCTCATGCGGTTCTCCTTGCTCTCGTCATGCATGACAATGGTTCTGTAGTCCAGCAGATTCTCTAAGAGGCTACTGACCAGGAAGGCGAAGACCTCCCCGGAGCTGGAGAGGTATTTATGTTTCCGGCAATGTTCTAGGAGCCTGGGGGGCAGGGGGGGAGAGACAGACAAATGCCCACGCTCTATGCTGTCTTCCCAGCATGAGTTATGTGACCTGACCAAGGTCCCTGCAGCAGGTGGCCCAGTGATAGGTAACAGAGAATGCCACACACCCTTCATGCAACACCATTCTGTTCTGGGAACTTCATTTATGCAGCACCTCTAGTTTACTCAAGTCCTGCATTTTCTTCGGGGCTTAGCTCAAATCCTGCCACCACTTGGACTCCCTCCCACAATGTCGTCTGAAAGACTATTTGCATTCTTGCTTTTTTTCAGTCAATACCACAGAAAATGAGAAGCTGGCTATCGGAGGACTCTGACCGAGTTACATGTCCTACGTCATCCTTCTCTCGAGGGCCTGGCACTCAGGGCACCCCCTGGGCATTCTGGAAAGCCTTGGATTGATGCCCAACCTGGAAGCCTAGTACATCTCCAGACATGAGGCTCTCCAGTAAAAGCGTTATTTTCAGAGAAAATGCAGAGCTGTAAATAAGCAAACTGAGGCTAAACCTTCAGTCTAAACGATCTCCCTTTGGACTCATGTAGAGCAAAGTTCAGGGGCTTCTTACATGAGACAATTAAAAGAAAACTTGGGGGAAAAGGAAGAAGAAATGGGTCCAAAAATATCAGTCCATGCTCTAGGATTATTCGTGGGCACTGGAGATTTGTATATTTCTGAGTTAGTGATCCAGAAAGAATAAAGAAATCAAAGTAAGATCCTTATGTAAAACAATCAGCTGTAAGATTAAAAAAGAAAGAGTAGTTTATTACATATAAATGTTGGGGTGTGTGTGTGTGTGTGTGTGTGTGTGTGTAAGCACACAGCTTCGTTTAATTCCATCTGAGACCATAACTGACCACAACTAGGAGGTCTGAAGCTCAAACAGAGAGACCTAATGAAAACAGGATAAAAAGACCACTGAAAGGTCTTATCCTCATTAAAATTAAGTTAGGAAGAACTAGAAAGTTCTTTAAAATACATATAGACAGCCGGCCTTGGACAGCTCAGCCTGTATCCCAGCGCTTTGGGAGGCTGAGGTGAGTGGATTGCCTGAACCCGCGGGTTCAAGACCCGCCTGGGTAACTTGGCGAGACCTCATCTCTACAATAAATCAAAACTACAGGTGTGGTAGCGCACGCCTGTAGTTCCAGCTACTTGGAAGACTGAGGCAGAAGGATCGCCGGAGCCCAGCAGGTCGAGGCTGCGGTGGCCGGGAGTGGCCACTGTACTCCAGTCTGATAGGGTGAGACTCCAACTCAAAAAAAAAAAAAAAAAAAAAAAAATATATATATATATATATATATATATATATATATATAGAGAGAGAGAGAGAGAGAGAGAGAGAGAGAGAGAGAAACAGACTACACATCGATTCCGTATCTGAGTATTCAGGGTGCTGGTTCCTTAGGGACTCTTTAAAAAGATACAAAAAGTGTACGGGTTGGGTGTGGTGACTCACGCCTGTAATCGTAGCACTTTAAGAGGTGGAGGCTAGAGGATTGCCTGAGTCCAGGGGCTCAAAACCAGCCTGGACAATGTGGTGAGGTCTCGTTTCTACAATAAATCAAACGATTAGCCAGATGTCTGTGGTTTCAGTCACTTGGAAGGCTGAGGTAGATCACTTGAGCCCAGCAATTTGAGGCGGCGGTGGCCATGAGCGCGCCCCTGTACTCCAGCCTGGGCAGCAGAGTGAGACTCTGACTCAAGGAAAAAAAAAAAAAAGACAAAACAGAATCCCTGTCCTGAGGATCTAGTTCACTAAACTTCTACAGAACAGGTGAAAAACAGAATGGCCTAGGCAAGCCCTCAGCGGGTGACTCAGTCGGTCAATGCTACAAAAGTTCAGAGGACATGAGAAATCAAAATATTTCAGAGCAGTGGAAATCTGAATGGTGGAAAGATTTGTAAATAATAACATTAACAACCATCAACACTAGAGCAGTTGACATTTATTAAGCACGAACATGGCAACAGACATGCTATTAACGCACGGTCTCCTTGAATCTTCACAGTCATACCCGCAGATAGATACTATTCTTGCAGATGGAAAGAAAAATGAGGTGTTGGGTCAGCTGAGTGACTGGACCAAAGCTAAACTCTGTCGCCTGGGCTGGAGAGCTGTGGCATACTCACGGCCACCCCAGCAACAACCTGCTGGCCTCTGGCAATTCACCCGCCTCAGACTTCCAAGTAGCCGGAACTACAGGTGCGCGCTACCATGCCCGGCTAATTATTTTTGATTTCCTGTAGAGATGAGGTCTCACCAAGTTGTCCAGGCTGGTCTCGAACCCATGGGCTCAGGCAATCCACTCACCTCTGCCTCCCAAAGTGCTAGGATGACAGGTTGAGCCACCGAGCCCGGCCCATCCAAGTGGTTTTAACCATGTTTATCCTCTTTTCGTTATTCCACATTGCAAAAGGGGAATGGGAGGGACATGAGTGTGACAGGTGAGTGTGGAGGTGGGGATGCAGGGAGGGGCAAGGACCAACCTGGCTGAGATAGCCCAGCTTTGTTCTCAGAGGTCCTTTCTGGGGCGTGAGGTATTTTCACATATAAAGTGGACCTTGAAATGTTTTTTCCTTTAAATTGTTGCTTTGAAGCTGTAATTAGAGGTGCTAACACATGATGGAATTCAAAAAGTCAAACACTGGGCAAAACACCACGGCTCCACACATCTTCTCCTCTGGCCCATGTGCTGTGTGCTCGGGGGACGCACGGGCCGGGAAACCCAGGCATTTGGCTCACATCAGATAAACGGTGACAGCAGTGGACGATGCATCCCTCATAACCCTATCGAGGACCGCTGTGGAGGTGACCCCAGGGACTCTGAGACTCTATCGCTCTGCACTGCTTTTCTCCATTGCGAAAAAACACCACCAACTCGGGGTTCTGTTTGGAAATACTCACAGTTTTTCCAGAAGAACCTTGTATTGTTCATCTCCTCTGCCCCCTTCCACCTCCTGGTCCAGCTTCGTGATCAGCTCATTCTCAAACTGAAAGCAGAGTCAGAGTTTCAAAGGAGAATGCTACACCTTTGGAAGAGGACAGGCATGGCCAACCTTTCTGATTTGACCAACCCCGTAACTGAGTCGTGAACTGTTTTCAACACATACAAGGGAGGATCACATTTCTCATCATTCATAAACAGTATACCAAGACACTATCAAAAGATTCCAAGGCAGTCACATGTGACTCTGCCCTTTGTTCTATGTTTACCACTCCCCCAAAAAAGAAATTATCCAGAACATTACCTTCTGTTACAACTATGCACATAAAAATAGCTTAATGATTTGAATTTTCTTTTTTTCCTTTTTCTTTTTTTTTGAGACGGAGTCTCACTCTGTTGTCCAGGCTAGAGTGCAGAGGCATGCTCACGGCCACTGCAGCCTTGACCGGCTGGGCTCAGGTGATCCTTCTACCTCAGCCTACCGAGTAGCTGGAACTAAAGACATGTGCTACCATGCCCGGCTAATTTTTTTGATTTATAATAGAGACGGGGTCAGGTCGAGCTGCCCGGGCTGGTCTTGAACTCCTGAGCTCAGGCAATCCTCTCACCTCAGCCTCCCAATGTACAGGGATTACAGGCTTGAGCCACTGTGATGATTTTAATTTTCTACTTTATTTTTGTCTCTTGCCTGAATCTTGGCAGTGGAATGGTTTTTGCAGGCCTTTAAAGCTGCAAAATCTTCCTTTCAATATAAATACGCTTCTCAGACAAGAAAACTGAGGCACAGAGAAGACATATCAGGAAAACCAAGTTCTCAAAGCTAGAGAATAATGGATTAGACCTTGATCCACTGCATCACTGTCAGCTGTACTGTAACAGATAGGTTTTAAAATTCAATTCACTACATTATTCCCTCAGTGATAATGAAACAGACAGGATTAAAATGCATGAAGTTAACTTTTAATTATCTAGAGACAGAGTGCTGCTTTAGGAAAGACATGTAGCAAAAAGACCTCTTCCGGGCTCTGGGCTAGAATATCTGATTATATCATTAACTGCTTGACAAAATGAAACGTAAAGTGAATTTTCAGATCAACTTTTGCTTCCATTATTCAGGCTACTGCTTTTCCTATGTAAAAAGAAAAGAAATAAGAGCTAACTATATGCACAATACTAAGATTATAGCATCTACCCCTTCTTACCATATGGAAATTGCCATTTCCACTGAAATTGAACTCGCACTGCATCATATCAAAGAAAATGGGGATTGTGGCTTTCCGGAGCTCTACTTCAGGGGTCAGAGTGACCTCCAGAATGGGACCCACCATGGAGGGGATGAATTTGATTTTGTGGGGACCTGAAATAAAAGTACATGAGAATATTTTTAAAAAAATCATTTCACTGTATGCAAAGTGTTACAATCTTCCTCCAAAGGACCCATAAGAAAAGAAAAAGTTTACGTGGGTAAATCAACTCAACTCAGAAGTGAGAGACTACACACTGTATTCTGATAACATGTGGATGCCATAGTAAGAGACTGTCATTGTTACCGTCTTAGTTGGACCGAGTGTGTGAAACCCACAGATCAACATTCGCTCCCAGACACACAGACACATAAATCTCAGACCGTTTTGGATTAAAATAGAAGATTGCATCACGGGATGCTTATTGCACAGAGGCTATGCTCAGGCCTATTCAAGGCTAGACACTCACCCAGATTATACCACATGTCCCGGATTCTAAAGCCGATTTCCTTTCTCATATCCCCATATCTAGGAAGAAGATCATAAACCAGAAGAAAGATTTGTAGTACAAACAAGTTGCATGTAACACAAGGGTAAAGGGAATAAAAACATTTAAGGCAGGCTCACTCTAAGAGATGAGGCGAATACCTAAACAAGCCCTGGTTCACAGAGGACAGGGAAACCTGACAGCAAAGGAAGCCAAAGGCAGATGCTGAAAATTAACTGAGAAGATGAAATCGACAAACTTACTGAAGTTAGAAGACTGAGACACACTCTGATGGCCATGAAGCAAAGAAATAGCCAAACAAAACACAGAAAATACTAAAGAAAAGGAAGATGCATGAGGTATGTTTTATACAGAAATATGACTGGTGTCTAACAAACAGAAAGGCTGACTTAATATACTTATATTTGGGTAATGAACATCCATTCCAATGTGTTCTTCAAAGTTCTCACACTGGAACGCTCTAGACCAAGCATTCTCAATGGGAGCAATATTGTCCAACAAGGAAAAAAATTGGTCCTTGGGAGCTAAAAATAGCTTACTGTTTTTATATATACAGCCATCAGTCTTAGTTTTCAGGGAGGAATCAGAGATAGAAGGATGCTAAGTGATTTGCCTAGAACCTCATTATTTCACAGAAAAAAAAGAACAGAACTTTCAAAGTCTTTAAATAATAAATTTCAAAGTCTTTAAATAATAAATTTCTCAAGTTATTTTTAAATTACATAGTCTTTGAGATTCTAGGTTCTTTATAAACTCTGACTGGAACATAATAAAAAGCTTCCCTAAATTTCTCATCACTCTTGCACATGATTTCATTTTGAATTCAAGGCCAAAAATCTGGAGGGCATTTTTAGGTCATGCTGGAGACTTTTCTGCTGAAGTGGCAGGAAAGCAGGGCAACTGTACAAGCAGTGTGCTTTGTGAGGAGGCACTATGCCTGCAATTTGGGTGAGCCACCAGCAGGGGCGCAGCTGTCCTTGGGGACTGGTGTGCTGATGCTGAGGTATCTCTCCAAGGAAAGATTTGATAAAAAGCAGCAGCTGCGTGATGGCTAGATGACCCTTGAGAAGAGATATGGACCTGGAAGACCTTGAGGCCTATTCCTCACTAATGACATGGGTAGCCACTGAGCAGTAATTTCTGGGATACCAAAAATATTGCTCTGAATATACACAGAAAACCCCCTTCCCCAGACGCAATCCAGTTTAAAAGGACACTTACTTTTTTACAATTTTGTTACGCTTGGCTTGTGAAAAGGTTTCAAGCTGAAGAGACTCATGGGTGAGAAATGCTACTGCCAAATGGAAGTAATTGTTCCAGAGCTGTTCAAAATTAATTGTGTGGGCAAAAAAGACAAAAAAAAAAAAAAAAAAGAAAAAGAAAAATAACATTAATAACAGTCATAACAAAATAGTGTCACATGGTAGAAAGTCATTAACCAGGAATTAATGAAAAAACAAAATTAAATCCACAAGACTTCTTTTTCTTGGGTTTAGATCATTCAGTTCTGAAAGTTTTATGATTTAATATTAAGCTTTCAAAAAAAAAAAAATTTTATTTTTCTTTACTCCTGGGATAAAAGAAAACTCCTGCCAGGAAGTATACCTATTTATAGTAGGTAGTTTGGCAACATGTATCAAAAGCACTAAAATTCTGCCAAATCTTTCAAACAGTAAATACTTTTAAGGCTTTATCCTGACAAAATAACCATGGATATTTTTAAATATTTAAAACAAGGAAGGCCATTACAGTGCTATTTAACATAACAGAAAGTGGAAAACCTAAATGTTCATGAGAAGAATTTGGTTAAATAAATCATCGGCCAACCATACAACGGACTGTATTCAGTCATTAAACATACTGTGAAAATATTTAACATCATTGCAAAGATCACAGATCATTAACAAAGTAAGGAAAATAGATTAATAAAGTACCAAACAACAGCACAGCTCAATTCCATTTTGGCATATAGATATACACACACACACAAATGTATTATACATCAGTGTATTTATATAGTCTTTTCTTATGTATCTCTATTTTATCTTTATTTATTTATTTCTAATGAGATGAGGTCTCACTATGTTGCCCAGGCTGGTCTTGAGCTCCTGGGCTCAAGCAGTTCTCCTGCCTCAACCTCCCAAAGTGCTGGGATTACAGGCATAAGCCACCGTGCCTGAGTCTCTACTTTAAAAGTTCCATAGATACAAAGGACTCAGAAAAAGCTCGTGCCCAGCAAAATGTACAGTTCTCTGGAAGGTAAGCATCCTAACAACAGGGACCTTATCTGCCTTCACCAGGACCCAGAATAGCGCTTTATGTTAAAAAAAAACAAACTTTTATCTGAGGAATGCAAGTCCTTTTAATTATCAGGCCCAGTGAGACATTAAAGTGAGACCACAGGCCAGGCTCAGTGGCTCAGCCTGTAATCCCAGCACTTTGGGAGGCCGAGGAGAGTGGATTGCCTGAGTCGGCAGGTTCAAGACCCACCTGGGCAACTTGGTGAGACCTCGTCTCTACAATAAATCAAAAATTAGCCAGGTGTCGTAGTGCACGCCTGTAGTTTCGGTTACTTGGAAGGCTGAGGTGGAAGGATCGCCAGAGCCCAGATGGTTGAGGCTGTGGTGGCCGGGAGCATGCCACTGCACTCCAGTCTGGGCGACAGACTGAGATTCCAACTCAAAAAACCACAAAAAAATAAAAAGTAAAAATAAAATGAGACCACAATCACACCCTACTCCCTCGCTTTGAGTCTGTACACATCTCTTGAAACTTGTTGTTGCCATAAGCAGCTATAAATTAACCTAATTAACCATCCCGGACATTATAACCCACACCTATAGCTTGATTGCACAGCCAATCCCTAATCAATGTTATTTCCGTAAAACAGTAAGAAGTCCTGACAAACAACTTTCTGTCAGCCAACTCCCCTGTTTCCATTTTTCATTTCTTTTTTTTTTCTTTCTGATTCAAAGACTCACTCTGCTACCCAGGCTTCGGTGCAGTGGCACTCTCAGGCTACCACAGCCTCAACCTCCTGAGCCCAAGCAATTCTTCAGCCTTAGCCTTCGAAGTAGCTGGAACTACAGGTGTGCACGACTATGTCCTGCTAATTTTTTGATGTATTGTGGACACGAGGTCTCACCAAGTAGCCCAGGCTACGTGATCCCCTGGGCTCAGGCAATCCTCTAGCCTCCACCTCCCAAAGTGCAGGGATTACAGACATGAGCATCCCAGCCCGGCTCTGTCCCCACTACTTGCCTTCAAAAATCCACTTGCAATTGCCACTCATTAGAGTGTATATTCAGGGTAACTTGTATCTGTGCTCCTGGGTTGCGATGCTCAATCATGGCCCCAGTAAACTCTTTTTTTTTTTTTTGAGTTGGAGTCTCATTTCATCGTCCAGGCTGGAGTACAGTAACGCGCTCAAGGCCACCCCGCGTCGACCTGCTGGGCTCTGGTGATCCTTCTGCCTCAGCCTTCCAAGTAGCCAGAACTACAGGCGCATGCTACCGTGCCCAGCTAATGTTTGATTCATTGTTGAGACAAGGTCTCACCAAGTTGCCTGGGCTAGTCTCGAACTTGCAGGCTCAGGCAATCCTCTTGCCTCGGCCTCTCAAAGTGCTGGGATTACAGGCTGAGCCACCACACCCGGCTGATTTTCTTCTTTTTATTTACCTGTTCTTCTACTATAACTTAGAGTTTTTTTTCTATGTGCATTACTTTTACAGCAAGAAGAAAAAAACCCTATTTTTATTGTATTTGGAGGACAGTATGATAGAAATGCAACTTTAGGAAATAAGAAAACACAAGAAATTTTTTCTTCTGTGAAAATGATTAAACCTGAGGTGACATTTTCCAAATTGAAATAATCCTTTGGCCGTAGCTGAGAATTCCAGGAACACTGAGATGAGTCACGTGCCTACCTGAAGCTCAAAGCTTGCCTGGTCCATGAAGACTCTTGTGAGGACTTCAGCAAACTGATTTATAGCACGGAGGAAAACTCTGGGGGAAAAATATGCAAAAATTAAGAAAGCAACCTAATACCCTTTGAAACATTTTCCCACCTGTGTTAAAAACTAAACCAAATAGACCACAGGCTTGGCAATTTAAGACCTTATGATCTACCAATGTCCTTGTCGTCCAGTAAGAGCATAGTCCACAGGTCACAGAAGCTGAGTTCGGAGACCTGACTAGAAGAGCCACTCAGGGCCATGTCACAATCTAGGCAATTTTAGGGAGAGCTGAGATGACAAACCGTGCTTCCTGAGTCTCAGACCAGAGCAATATGTACTCTATTATAAAGACGCTTCCCTTCTAAGCCTAGGGTTTCTGATGCAGTTTTTTTCTCCAATCTGTACAGCGTTGGGAAGGGTTTTTCTAATTGGGTATCAGAGTAGAGTTATTCTGATTTGCTTTATCCAGCTCATTAAATTCTAACGCTCTTTTAACATAATATATATTCATTTCACTTCTATTCAACAAGTATGTGTTGTGAGCCAGCAATGATGAGGTGCTGTGTTGAAAGACACAAGTCCTGGTCTTTAAGAAGTTTACCGCTTGGTGGGGGAAACACACAACTTACAAATTGAACCATGATCCCACATAGAATAGTTATAGAGAAGGTTTCAAAGAGCTATGGGGAATCAAAGGAAGAAAAGATGACATCTGGATCAGAAAGGGGATGGGTGAGAAGAACCTTACGTCATGGCTGAAATGTTCACAGCCAGAGATGGTGGAAGACTGGTAGGAGGCAAAGCTGAGAACGCACTGAGGGTCCAGACAGAGGCCAGCTTGGTTGAAGCAGGGGTTGTGCACACAGGGAAACAGTGGAAGATACGGCTAGAAAGGCGGGCTGGGTTTTGCATGTCAGGATGGAGGACAGCCATTAAAAGTACCATGAAAAACTGATGCTGACAATGAGCAAAGAGGAGATTAGGCTAGAGTCAAAAACCTGAGCTGGAGCCACTGCAGTAGCCCAGGAGACACAGAGATCACGGGCACACATGAGAAGGGACCCCCAAAAATTTGGAATTATCTTTGGAGGGCGGGCCCCTCGTAGTACAGGCGTCCCCCGCTAGGTGAGTGTTCCAGGAGCCCATTGGTACCAGCTTCTGTGGTTGTGAAAGGCTACAGTCAGCTTCAGCGAATTTTTTTTGGAGATTCTTTCAACACGTTTGCCTATTTCATAATGGGTGATTTACGAGCATACCTGTCCACACTTCTCTGAGTGTTCGGTAGTTTTTGACCAAAATGGCACTACCCCTATGCCCCATCCACTCTATTCACCTGATCTCACCCCAAAATGTTTTTTTTTTAATTTATCAGGTGAAAAAAGTGCTCACAGGGAAACGTCTTGCCAACGTGCAAGAGATGAAACAAAAAATGGCAGAAGCTCTAAAAGGTACCAAAACTGACAAGCTCAAAAACTGTGCTGAGCAGTGGAAAAAGCGTCTCATTAGGTGTATCGTATCCACTTTGAAGGTGACTGAAGTTTAAACGTGTAAGAACAAATATACAATTTTTAACAAATAAATTCTTTGTGTGGGGTCCCCCCATTCCTTAGGATCATGGAAGTGGGAAGAGTCTAACTTTACAGATGAGAGATCTGAGGCAAAGAGATTTAATTAACAGCACTTCTCAAAGTTCACACAGAAGGCTCGAGCATTCAGTCAAATATCTCAGACCCGGCCACAGTTGTCTTACCTGCTCTGGGTCATGTTCATGACCATCCAGTCTTTGGCATAGACATTCTTTCCAATCAGATCCTTAAACATGATGAAAGTCTCCATGAGGAAGTCCTGCAGAGGACAGAGAAATGGTTGGGGGAAACTAGTTATATTCATAGCTTTTGTTCTAGCGTGTGGATGAGAAGGACCACTGCCTCAGAAAAACATGTTCCTAGTCCTGTTTTCTTTTTCTTTTTTCTGAGTTGGAGTCTCACTCCATCACCCAGGCTGGAGTGCAGTGGCATACTCACGGCCACCCCAGCGTCAACCTGTTGGGCTTCAGTGATCCTTCCACCTCAGCGTTCCAAGTAGCTGGAACTACAGGTGCACACTACCGTGCCCGGCAAAGTTTTGATTTATTGTAGAGATGAGGTCTCGCCAAGTTGGCCCCGCTGGTCTTGAACCTGCAGGCTCAGGCAATCCACTCGCCTCGGCCTCCCAAGGTGCTAGGATGACAGGCTGAGCCACTGAGCCCAGCCCTAGTCCCGTTTTCATAAGGCTTTCGGGGGTGATAAATCATTCTTACAGCTAGCTATCATAGGACTTGATTTGTTCATCATAGGATCTTACAGGTAAGACCAGGACAAAAAGAATCACCCACATCTTACAAACGGCACAAATGAGACCGAGAAAAAAGCAAATGACACAATCTAAGGTCATAGAAACTAGGAAGCAGGGGAGTTGGGATGAGACCTCGGAGCTCTGAACCCACATTTGCAGCCCTTGTGTCTTTAGTTCTCTGTTGCTACATGCTGTCTGAATATATCGCGTGCATTTCAGCATAATTCACCAACAACTGTGAGAAAATGGATACTTCTGATAGATCTGAGTTCAGTTCTCCTCTATGACGATTAGAACAGAAGTGCTAGATAAGAAGTAGAGTCGTGATTCTTTCTATTCCAGAACATTGCCATGTGCAGCTTGGAAGAAGGGTCCTAAAGTGCCCTTTAGAAGGGATTTTTTTCCACAGTCGCTGGTGATGACGCTGATAATAATGTAACCATAAAGAGCACAAAACAGGAAAACCTGCTCTTCTAGTTCGGGGGTGGGGGGGGCGTGGCCAAAAAACGATTCAGAAATAGAACAGTCAGATCCAAAAATCTAAGCAAGAAAGTTTTGAAAGCATTTTTATTAGTTAACTAAATTTAGACCTTTTCCACAGGAATTCTTTTTTTTTTTTTTTTTGAGTTGGAGTCTCACTCTGTTGCCCAGGCTGGAGTGCAGTGACATACTCATGGCCACCCCAGCATAACCAGTTGGGCTTCGGAGATCCTTCCGCCTCAGCCTTCCAAATAGCCAGAACTACAGGAGTGAGCTATCACACCCAGCTAATTTTTATTTATAAAGATGAGGTCTCATCAAGTTGCCCAGCTGGTTTTGAACCCACGGGCTCAGGCAATCCACTCGCCTCGGCCTCCCAAAGCGCTGGGCTTAAAGGTTGAGTCTGGCCTCCACAGGGATTCTTAAAATGAAAATGCAGTCCAATTTCTTGGGCACTAACCTCCATAGTCCTACCTTTTACAGTATGTATGTCATATAGCTGTAAAAAACATGGCACTTGAGAGGCAAGAGGCTTGGGTTCTATTCCTCATGACATTTTTCTGAGACACTGGTCCAGCTGGTTAACTTCCTGCACTTCGGACGCTGAACAGCCCAGGAACGGGAATGGCTCTGGCCAAGAAGTGTGTGCTACCTTGGGTTTGTCATCAGGTTCAGTGGTGAGTCAGATGTATCTACCCTCAATTCCGAAATCCTTGACATAGTTCATGAGTTTAAATTTTTTTCTGGCCATACATTTCACATGCTTCCGCCAGTTTATTAACCATTCTGGTAAGCTTTTCTTTCAAGTCAACAAGAATTCATGGCTTGTGAAGCAAGGATTATATTGAGAGGTAGTTATCCGCTTCGGACACTGACTCTCCATTCACCACCTGGAAATCACAGTTGATGAGACAGTACAATGAAGGTGAGTCACAGGGAATCCCAAAGGGTCTCATCTTATCGGCCACTTCCCAACGCCCCTCATGCGATTCACGCAGAAGTCAGAATGAGAGAGTGAATGGATGGTCCGTCAGGAGGAAAAGGCCTCGCTGAGCACAGTAGCTCTGCCACTGAGGACTGTAAGCTCAGACAAGTTAACTGAGCTTCTCAAGGCCTGAGTTTCCTCATGGGGATAACGATATTCTTTTTTTTCTTTTTTGAGTTGGAGTCTCACTCTGTCGCCCAGACTGGCGTGCAGTGGCCGCTCCCGGCCACCGCAGCCTCGACCTGCTGGGCTCCGGCGATCCTTCCGCCTCAGCCTTCCGAGTAGCTGCAACTACAGGCGTGCGCTCCCATGCCCGGCTTATTTTTTAATTTATTGTAGAGATGAGGTCTCACCAAGTTGCCCAGGCGGGTCTCGAACCCGCCGGCTCAAGCAATCCACTCACCTCAGCCTCCCAAAGGTGTGGGATGACAGGCTGAGCCACCGAGCCTGGCTACGATATTCTTTTAATTAGATAATACAGGTGGAAGAGCTCACCGTTGTTCTGGTAATAGGAGTTAAGTCTCCTTTTTTAAAATTAATAATGCAGCCAAGTTGCCAGAGATTCCGTTTGGAGCGCCCTATTCTACATGCTTTATGAAGGAAACTTAAGACACAAAAAAATCTGGTCGCGTGCAGTGGCTCATGCCTGTAATCCCAGCACTTTGGAAAGCTGAGGCAGGAAGACTGCTTGAACCCAGGAAGTTCAAGACTAGCCTGGGAAACATAGCAAAACCTCATCTTTACAAAAAAAAAAAAAAATTAACTGGGAATAGTGGCATGTGCCAATAGTCCCAGCTACTACAGAGGCTGAGGAAGAAGGATTGTCTGAGCCCAGGAGGCTGAGGCTGTGGTGAGCTGTGACAGTGCCACTACACTCCAGCCTGGGTGATGGAATGAGACCCTTGACTCAGTAAACAAACAAACAAATGAATAATAATTTTTAAAAAAATCACTAAAACATTTTTTTTTTTTTTGAGTTGAAGTCTCACTCGGTTGTCCAGACTGGAGAGCAGTGCCCGCTCCCGGCCACCGCAGCCTCGGCCTGCTGGGCTCCGGCGATCCTTCCGCCTCAGCCTTCCGAGTAGCCGGAATTACAGGCGTGCACTACCAGGCCTGGCTGATTTTTTGATTTCTTGTAGAGATGAGGTCTCGCTGCCCAGGCAGGTCTCGAACCCGCGGGCTCAGGCAATCTACTCACCTCAGCCTCCCAAAGGCGCGGGATTACAGGCTGAGCCACCGAGCCCGGCACTAAAACATTTTAATGTTAGCTTTATCTTATATTACAATATAATGACATTATTATTATAAATAACTAGTCTTCATAGGCATTAACTACATGCCAAGCACAAGGCTAGGCATTTTCCAAGCATGGATTCAATCAATACTCACATTAACCCTCAAGGCAAGTAACGTCTCACAGATGAGAAACTGAGGTTCAGCGAGGTTAAACAGCTTGTCCTAAGTTTCTTTCTTTCTTTTTTTTTATTTTGAGTTGGAGTCTCACTCTGTCGCCCAGGCTGGAGTGCCGTGGCACGCTCCTGGCCACCGCAGCCTCGACCTTCTGGGCTCTGTCAATCCTTCCACCTCAGCCTTCCAAGTAGCTGGAACTACAGGCGCGCGTTACCACACCCGGCTAATTTTTTTGATTTATTGTAGAGATGAGGACTTGCCAAGTTGCCCAGGCAGGTCTTGAACCCGTGGGCTCAGGCAATTCTCTCGCCTCGGCCTCCCAAAGTGCTGGGATTATGGGTTTGAGCCACCACGCCCGGCCAGCTTGCCCTAAATTTCATACGAGGAAGTGGAATAGTCAGCTCACAGCTGGGTTTTCTAAAGCCTGTGCTCTTAACCGCTGCACCATCTGCCTATGGAGAACACATTGCTACCCTTGGCCTCCATTTCTCCTCTCCCTTCCTCTCATCCTGATCTTCTTGCCCCTGGTATCCACAGGGGCATCGACATATCACTACTGTCCCTGTGCCATGCCGTCTGCCAGAGCGTGGCCTAAGGAGAGGCCCAGTAGGCCTCCAGGTTAAGTCACATGGTCTTACATGGCAGTATGAGAGTTCATCGGGCCAACCAATAATAAACAGCACTTTCCAATGCCTTGTATACTTGTCCTTCGTGTGGGCATCACAGGAAGGAGGGTGATGGGCAAGGAAGGGGCTGCGTATTCTTGAGGGTACTACCCACAGAATCTCAGCTACCACATGTGAAGAAAGTAGAGAAGCCAGAGCATAAAGACTGGAATATACACCCATGATGGGAAGTCACCCAAAGCAACATGGCTTCAGTCTGCCAATCTAGCTCCATGCCTGGTCCACTGCTCTGCAAAATCAGATAACATCTCCATGGGTGTCTTAGGGCCACTGACCCTTCCTGGAAAGGAAGGCTCAGTGACCAGTAGCCAAAGGCCTAACTTGGCCTCTTAGATGTATGCTTAACAGAAACTATGAGGCTATTTGGGAGACAAAGGTGGGAGGATTGCTTGAGGCCAGGAATTTGAGGCTGCAGTGAACTAGGACCATGCCACTGCTCTCTAGCCTGAGCAACCAAGTGAGATTTCATTTGTTTAAAAAAACCACACACGGGCCAGGTGTGGTGGCTCAAGCCTGTAATCCAAGTACTTTGGGAGGCCGAGGAGAGAAGATTGCCTGAGCTCATGGGTTCGAGACTAGCCTGGGCAACTTGGTGAGACCTCGTCTCTACAATAATTCAAAAAATAAGGCGGGAGTGGTGGCACACGCCTATAGTTCCAGCTACTTGTAAGGCTGAGGTGGAAGGATCGCCTGAGCCCAGCAGGTTGAGGCTGTGGTGGCTGTGAGTGTGCCACTGCACTCCATTCTGGGCAACAGCGTGATACTCTGAATCAAAAAAAAAAAAAAAAAAAAAATCACACACACACGAAATACTTTCTACTGAAGATAACTTATACATGTTGTACGGAGAAGATTACTTCTTGTTTCCCTCTCCAAAATGATAATATCAACCCTGTCTTGGGAGATTTTGCACACCCGCTTTCAAAAATCCTTACCATGGTACTAACAACTACCATCCCTTCATAAACACTACCCTCTATTCAGAATAAAGCAGATCTCCCAAATGTTTCTAAATAAGGGCTCTCTCTAAATCCAAGAGACCAGACCCAGTGTAATAACCTTTTAGTATATGTGTTGTATTCTTCAAATCCTATCCAAGAGAGAAAGTAAGAATCATCTCTCTCCTTTTTCTTTCGTGTGGACAGCCACCCAGCATCAGAAGAAGGTGGGAACAGAACCCTGGACTCAGTCTGCTGACTCAGATGCTCGGTTTCATTTATTTATTTACGACCAAATGGTTACCAGGACCCAGGGAAGATAACTTACAGTGATGTCCTGTCTGGTTTTGAAAGTGCTGATGTAATGGCTGTAGTGGTTGTCGTCCATCTGCCGCAGGATGGCAATCATGCAAGCCACAAAACTCCCCTGGGAAGGAAGTGGAAAACATCAATCCAAGACACCTTAGGCCACCGACTGACAACACAAAACTTGGCCACCATGAACCTTGGCTTTTCCCACCCAAAGTGCTGTGCAGGGACCTTACCCAAATGGAAATGGACTGTATTCTAAAGGTCCAAAGTGTACACGCTTTGCTGTATCTGCTTCAAACTATGACCTTCCAGGTAAGGATGAAGGAATCCCATCAACAGCTATGACTTGTGGAATCCTATAGGTCAGGGGACACTAACTGGACGAGCTCAACTACAGTGGCAGTTAAGACCTAACAGTCTGCAGGGCTTTGGGTTTCTTATTCAGACAGTGAGATCAGTAACTACATATTCACCAGAAAGCAAATTACCCAAGGATACTATTCTCTAGTATTCATTTAGTTGTGACAACAACACAGATGAAGTTAGCACAGGAGACATGACTACATAGCTGTTCTTGGGATAGAGGAAAAGATTTCTCAAGTAGGAAAACAATAAAAGATCGTCTGTGTGCACCTCTTTCAGAATATATGTCTGCCTTGGACTGAGTCTTTTATTTTTAAAAAGTTGATTTTTCTAATTATGAAGCAATGTAAATTTATTGTACCAAAGCTTTTGATTTATATTGTCAAATTATCATATGTCATTCTCATCAGTGTCTATCATTATTTGTTTCTCAGGACCATGGGTATTATAGTTTTATTTAATCTCACTTTTGGCATTTTCTTTTCTTTAAATTAAGCATTCTGTTTATATATTTTTGGTCACTTATTTTTTCTCATTTTGTTGTTTGCTCATATTCTTTACTCACTTTTCTATTAAAACTATATCTTTCTCGTAGTGGTTTGTAACAGTTCTTTGCATATTAAGGATTCTAGCCACTTGCCATGTGTTACATATAATTTTTATAGTTTGGGGTTTGACATTTTATTATATATAGTTTATTTAACATACATATTTTACATGTAGGGATTTATCAAGGAAAATCCATTTTTTTCTTTTATGATTTCTCTACATTTTTAAAAATTCATGAATACCTGTTCTCCTCAAAACAGTTATATATTTATTTTTCTTCTAGTTGCTTTATGACTTTAATATTTTTAAACTAAACTTCATTCTATCTAACATTTTGTGGGTATACTATGAATTTGAACACTTTTTTTCAAATTGCTAACTAATTTTCTAAATAATATTTACTTAAAACTTTCACTTTCCCTATTGAGAGGTAATGATATTTTCATGTAATCAAAAGTCTCCTTTTAAGTTCTATTCTGTTTATATAGTACTTTACTGCATAAGTCCAACTATTTTAATTATTGTTTTCAAACCTGACAGGAAACTCTCTACTTATTATTACTACTTGGCTGTTCATTTATTTGCATCTAATATTTATTTTTACTCTCATATTTTGTGACTAAACCAAATGGAATTTCTCTTTTACAATCTCGAAATAGCTACTGTTGCTACAAAGAAAAACCACTGAATATTGTTTATTTTATAGCCAGCTAGTTTAACAAACTGTTTATTCATTTTATTAAAATTTCAGATAACTCTCTTTGGTTTCTTATGTAATTTCAGTTAAAAATAATGATAACTGTGGTAATCATTTTTCTTCTTTTTCAATATTTATATTTAATGTATTTTTCTTATCTTATTATAGTGACTAGACATTACAGAAAAAAGCTAAACCACAGTGCAGAAATTAAACATCTTGATTCTCTATTTTACGGCCATTGAGAATTATGCTGCCTAGTATCATGTTAAAAATTCTCCTCTTTTCTTAATTTGGAATAGATGCTACATTTGATCATATGTCATTTTGGCATCAACGGAAAAATCATAAAGCCTTTTCCTTTTATTAAACTGATATTTTATTAATAGATTCTCTAATATTTTACTATTCTTGATTATCTAGAAAAAACTGTATTAAGCCATATATATATATTTTTCTTTTTTTAGGCCATATATATTTTATTTTTGCATAGATCAGTTAAGCTATAAATATATATTTACATAGTAATTAAGAGTAATATTATCAGCCGGGCTTGGTGGCTCAGCCTGTAATCCCACGCCTTTGGGAGGCTGAGGTGAGTGGATTGCCTGAGCCCGCGGGTTCGAGACCTGCCTGGGCTGCGAGACCTCATCTCTACAATAAATAAAAAAATCAGCCGGGGGTGGTAGCACATGCCTGTAATTCTGGCTACTCGGAAGGCTGAGACGGAAGGATCGCCGGAGCCCG